CCCCCCCCCCCCCCCCCCCCAGGTCTGGAACCACTTTGATAGCGGCTCCTGCCCCGGCCAGGCCATCGGGGTGAAGACTCGGCTGGACAACGGGGTGACGGGCTTCATCCCCACCAAATTCCTCAGCGACAAGGTGGTCAAGCGGCCGGAGGAGAGGGTCAAGGTAGTGGAAAACCTTCCTGTGGCCCGTTTCCCCTCTTCCCCCCCCTCCCTGCCGACTGTAGCTGAGCATTTTTAGTGACAGTGCACAAGGAAGCCTTTGCACACCAGCAGGTGTGTGTTGCTCTTTCGTGGCTCCACGCTTTCCACTCGTGGAGGAACTTTCTGCTTTTTACTCCCCTGCCTGCTTTCACTCCAGTCACACTCTCGGAGTCCAGGGGTTTCTCTGAACTCGGCAGGAGATCGGTTGGGGCGTCCCAGTTGGCTTGGGCCGTGTGGCTTCCACGAGTGTAAAGGGCCCCCCCTCCCTGGTTTGAGCAAGGGAAGAAATAACGATTGGAGGGGCTGGTGTAGCCCAGGGTGGGCGGGAAAGCCCTCGGCTTGGCACCTCCCCCCCTCTGAGCCTCCCGCTCTGTCCAGGTGGGAATGACCGTCCACTGCCGGATCATGAAGATCGACATTGAGAAGTTCAGCGCCGACCTGACCTGCCGGACGTCCGACCTGATGGACAAGAGCAACGAGTGGAAGCTGCCGAAGGACAACTACTACAACTTCGACGCCGAGGCCGCCGACCAGAAGCAGGAGGAGGAGCTGAAGAGGAAGCAGCAGCGCACCAGTGCGTGAGCGAGGGCCTCCCGGCGCTTGGGGGAGGCGCACACACGCTGTGGAACGGTGGTCCGTGGTCGTGGTGGTGTGTGACACGCGCATGACCTGTTGCTCTGTCTCTTCCCTGCAGCCTTGGAGCTTGGGGGAGGTGCGCATGCACTGTGGAACGGCGGTCGTGGTGGTGGGTGACCCGCGTGTAACCTGTTGCTCTGTCTCTTCCCTGCAGCCTACATCAAGCGCGTGATTGCCCACCCGTCCTTCCACAACATCAACTTCAAGCAGGCTGAGAAGATGATGGAGACCATGGACCAGGGGGACGTCATCATCCGCCCCAGCAGCAAAGGGGAGAACCACCTGACGGTGACCTGGAAAGTCTCAGAAAACATCTACCAGCATGTGGACGTGCGGGAGGAAGGCAAGGAGAACGCCTTCAGCCTGGGCTCCACCCTCTGGATCAACTCAGAGGTAAGGTGGGGGGGCCTGGCGGCATGAAGCGAGGGTGCAAGGGAGGGGAGGGGAGTTGTCGTCTTGCGCCTCTGACCTCCTCGGCGGCTTTCCTTCCAAGGAATTTGAGGACCTGGACGAGATTGTTGCCCGCTACGTCCAGCCCATGGCGTCTTTTGCTCGAGATCTGCTCAGCCATAAATACTACCAGGATTGCAGCGGAGGAGACCGGAAGGTGAGGAGGGGTGGCCCAAGGGGAGCCTTCAGGCAGAGTCCGCTTCGGGGTGTATGGGGGGGGTGTGCCTCCCACAAGCCAGGAAGGAAACCCATCCGTCCCCTCCTTCCTGGATAACACAACGCTGCTTGTCCAGCCGGCTACGCTGATGGGACGTGTAGTCCTACGGTGGATGCCGGAGCTGGGGAAGGCAGCTCTGGATGCTGGGGAGAGACCCAGAGGCGGGAGGAGCTGGTGGTCGAGGGGTGTCTGTGTTCAAGCTCCGTTGCCCTTCCAGAAACTGGAGGAGCTCCTGATGAAAACCAAGAAGGAGAAGCCCACCTTCATCCCTTACTTCATCTGTGCCTGTAAAGAACTTCCCGGGAAGTTCCTTCTTGGCTACCAGCCGCGCGCCAAGCCCAGGTGGGTGCCCCTCCCTCGGGGTCGCCCCTCCCTCGGGGTCGCCCGCTGCCCAACCCCTGTGGACATGGGGTCATCCCTCCCTCGGGGTCATCCCTCCCTCGGGGTCTTTCCTCCACTGTTACACCTTTGCCCCGTTCCCCACCTGAGCGAAGGGGTTCCAGGCGAAACGCCCTGTCTCTTCCGACAGGATCGAGTATGTGACGGTGACGCCCGAAGGCTTCCGGTACCGGAACCACATTTTCCCCACGGTCAATGGGCTTTTCCGGTGGTTCAAGGACCACTACCAGGACCCTGTGCCAGGTAACCTCTCCCCCGCCCAACCCTGGTGGGGATTTGGGAACAGACTCAGGGCCCTTTTGCTGTGTGTTGCGCCTCGAGAGAGCGCAGCGTCGCTTCCTAGCTGTTCGGTCTTGGGCTTTCCCCCAGGAGGATGGTTTTGACAATCCCGTGTGTGTTTGTTTTTTTTCTTATTCAAATGGCTCAGTATGTTTTCTCTCTCCTTTTCCCAGGGGTCACCCCCAGCAGTAGCAGCCGAACCCGGACTCCCGCTTCGATCAACGCCACCCCAGCGAACATTAACCTGGCCGGTGGGTGCCTCCTCGGTCCCCTCCCTCGTGCCCTCCACGCGCCCCCCCCCCAGGCTGCTTCGCCTGCCGGCTGACAGGCTTCCCTCTTGCTTTCTCTCGGCAGACCTGACCCGCGCAGTCAACGCCCTGCCACAGAACATGACCTCGCAGATGTTCAGCGCCATTGCCGCAGTGACGGGCCAGGGACAGAACGCCAACGCCACCCCGGCCCAGTGGGCTTCCAGTCAGTATGGCTACGGGGGCAGCGGCGGAGGCAGCAGCACCTATCACGTAGGTGGAGGGGGAGAGGGGGGCCTCCGGGGAGGTCGGTCCCACCCTGCGAGGAGCCTGGCCTCATCCTTGAGAGGAAGGGGATGAGGCCTGGGTGCGAAGGTGCACCACCAAAGCCTTTGGCCGTTTGCTGAGCTGCCTGGAGAGAAGGGCCTTGGGGTGAGATCCCAAACCCCCTAGCAGCAGCCCCCCCCCTTCGATATAGGTCAGGTCGAGCCCGCAGGAGGTGTTTGGGGCTGTCCCCTTCAGCCTGGCCGAGGAATCTGAGCCCGCCCAGGCAAGAGCAGGCAAGGCGGAGAGAGGCGCTGGGCAAGACGGCCCCTCCAAGGGCTTAGCGGCCAAAGAATCTGCTGAGCCGGCAGGACAGGCTGGAAGGGAGGCGCTTGCTAATCGCCCGGCAGGCGGGCAGGGGAGCCGCTCTTCCCTTCCCCTGCAGGCGGCCTGGACGGAGTCCTCTGGCCATATAAAAGGGCGCAGCCGAGTGGGGGTGTCATGGGGAGCCCCCCCGGGCGGTGACCGCAAGGACGAGCCATATAAAAGGCCGCAGACGAGTGGGGATGTCATGGGGAGCCCCCGGGCGGTGACCGCAAGGACGAGCCAAGGAACCCCCTGGACGGAGGGAGGCTTTCCACCCCTGACTTCGCAGCTGTGTCTCTCTTGAACCCCACAGGTCTTTGCGACGCCCGCTCAGCAGCCGGTGGCCACCCCTTTGCTGACCCCCAGCTACTCCTACACCACCCCCAGCCAGCCCATCACAACCCCCCAGTACCACCAGCTCCAGGCCAGCACCACACCCCAGTCCACCCAGTCGCAGCCGCCTTCCCAGCCTTCCTCCAGTTCTGGCCAGAGACCGCAACAGCCCAAGTAAGTCGTCGTGTCTTCCCCCCCCCCCGTTCTCCTTGGGGTGGGGGTGAGGGAGGTGGCCTTCTGTCCCATCCCTGGACCAGGGCTCACCCATCTGGAAGGAGAGCATGAGCCGGCTCTGAGCCTCTTTGTGGCAGGAAGAAGGTGGCCTTTTCCTCTCCTTCGGCGGAGGCCCATCCCCACCGAGGGCTGTCCGCTACCCTACCTCTGACCCCCACCCCCCGGCACCTCTCTCTCTTTCACACCCAGGTCCACCTCCCACACCGCGATCGACTGGGGCAAGATGGCCGAGCAGTGGCTGCAGGAGAAGGAGGCTGAGCGCCGGAAGCAAAAGCAGCGCCTGACGCCCCGCCCTTCGCCCAGCCCCATGATCGAGAGCACCCCCATGTCCGTCGCCGGAGACGCCACCCCTCTGCTGGATGAGATGGACCGGTAGTCCCCCGGCCCTCCCGCTCGATGGGCCAAACCGTCTCGTTTTGCTGAGCCCACATCGCTCCATCTTTTTGTGGATTTTTGCCCCGTCCTCTCCTTCGAGGGACTGAAAAGGGACACGGAGCGGCCCCCCTCCTGTGTGTTTTCCAACAGACTCGCCTTGCCTCCCTGTACTTTCTGGCGCTGGGTGGACAGAGGGAGCCCGCCGGCCCTTCCCTTTGTTGCTTTGGGCTTTGCTCGCGCAGCCGCCCTTGGCTCCCCCAGCCCTCCCCTGCCGAGAGATGCTCTCTCACCCTGATTCCTGGCTGCCGCCTGGCCTTCCAGCGGTGCAGAAATAAAGTTTCAGGGCCAGGGGGTTCGGGAGCAGAGATCTTTTTCCTGGCTGCCGGGCCCAAGTGGCCTGTCTGTGTCTACGTCCGTCTCGCTCCTCCTCGCTCAGTGGCCGTATTGTGCATCTAAAGGGCTTTGCTGCGTGAGCCCCTCTTGGCGTGCTGGGGTGGGGGTCCTGGGTGTGGGGAGAAGGCAGCCGCCGCCCCCGCTGCCATCAGCTCACTTTCTCCAGGACAATATTTATTCAGTGGTGTTACTTTGAAAGGGAGAAAAGAGAGACTCAAAGCTGAAGCCTGTGGCCGCGGCGGCTTTTGTGAGCAAGCTGTGAAGTGCGGTTGAAGATTTTAGCAGTTGCAGTGGCTGGAATGCCAAGTAGGGACGCGGGTTCACCCCTCCCCCCCCCTTTTCCCTTGGCGCCCCCCACCCACCCACCCTCCTCCTTATAACAGCCAAGAGGGAATAAATAGCGTTTCTACTGAATCCCTGGTCAACAGCTTCTCTGTTTCCCACTGCCAGCCAGCCAGCCAGCCAGCCAGAGAAAGAGAGAGAAAGTCCAGTGGAGAAACTGGCCAAGGTCCACCACTAAGAATGCCCATTTGGTCAGGGGTCACCCAATGGTTACTGGGTCATGGGGTGGGGGAGTCATAAGAGAAGCTTCTTCGAGTTTTGAGTCGAGGGGTGTTGCTGGAACTGGCCCACTGCATCTTTTGAAAACTTTTGAGGGAGTGGAGTGGACATCTGTGTGGATCGGGAAGAGGGTTCAAGGGTGGTTGCCCCCTCGAGTCCCAGGGCAGCTCTGGAGCAAAGCTTTCCACACCTGCTGGTGGGGGCTGATCAAACAGGGCCACAGAAGTTTAAATGGGGCTTCTTGAACTCTGGCGGTTGGAAAGAGGAGAACAACCCAAAGAGGGCTGTTCTGTTTCCAGATGCTTGAAACCAGCCTGCCTCTTTGGGCTCCAGGTACCTCTCAATGGTCTCTCAGAGATGCTCCCCCCCCCTACGGACACATTGTCCACTAATCCCGCCCAGCTCAAAGGTCACTTAAAGGAGAGCTTTGGAACCGTAACTCAGGGGATTTGGGGGGTTGTAGTCTGAAAGGAGGGACTCTTTCCAGCCCGCCTCTGAGGAGAGAGCAACGAAGGGCTGTTTTCTGGCTGCTGGGGCGCTTCATTTAGGGTGGAATAGCCTCCCGGCTCTGGGCAGGAGCTGAGCCGCCTCGAGTCCCAGGCGAAGGGGAATCGTAAGACTTAGGAACAGAGCAGGGACCGAGAGCAGCTTTTACATTTTTGTCTGGGGCTTTGGGCCAGCCCTGGAAAGGGAGTGAGGTTTCAGGAAGGGGAAGAGGGGGAATCGGGACACGGGGCAGAGCTGCTCACGGGGACAGAACAGGCCCCTGAGCGGTGAAGGCCAGGCCAGAAGGAGATAAGCAAGGCTGCCGGGAAAGAGCCAGGCAGGCTGGGCGTCCCGGATATTTCTTTTAAAAATATCATCACGTTATCACCAGGGGGAGGGAAGCCGACCCATCCAGAAGGGCCGCGAGGGTGGCCGTAAGGTGACCGCGCTGGGCCTCTGCCCAAAAAGCCTGGGCTGGTCTTAGCAAAATGATTCCTTTCGCGTAAGCCTGGCCTGTGTAGAAGTTGGTGTTGGCCCGAAGATTCAGCTTGAAAATCACAGTGGTTGCTTGGGAAGAAGGAAAACGCAAAAAAAAAAAAAATGAGCCAGCAACGCTGTCTAGGTGGGTTTTTGTGGTGGTGGGTTTTTTTAATGATGCTATCGGAAGCTCCGAATTTAAAAATTGGGGGGCCTGAACGCGGGGGATCTCTGGATCTGTCGAAAACCGATTAAGCTGTACGAGGCCACAGCAGACCCTGTGCTCCTTGGCATAGTTTAGCAGAATGTGATCTACTTTTTTTTAATGTATATTTTAACATGGAAGTAAAGATGGCCTGCCTGAACAGGGGTATTTTAACACCAGGGGGTTGCGCTCCTTGGAGCGGCTTGGCAGAATTGGTGCTTTAACGATCCGCTTGCTGTTCCAGATTTCCCTTCCAGCCGGATGCATCCACCCTCCCACCTGTCCTGGTGGAATTGCTGATAGATTTAGGGCACAAAATAGTTTATTTAGGAAAATCTTTGGGTTGCCTGTGCTTTGCTGGTTTATTACGTGGCTCCAAGCAGCCCACAGTAGAAGCCATCCCGCTCTCCCCACCCCTCCCCGAGTCTCAGCTGGGTGCAGAGTCCCCCCGCGCCTTCTTCCGCTGCCTCCTGCCTTTCCGCTGCCTCCTGGCAGGCGCGGCAGGGGTCCGGGGCCCAGGGGTGGCTCTTCCACGGCCCGCTGCTTTGCTCTCGGCCTCGGCGTCGTCATCGTTGTCTTTGGTCGCTCGCAGGTGAGTTCCTCCTCCGGGGTCGTCGCTGAGGATCGCATTGAAGGGATCCTCCTCTCTCAGATCTGGAAATCCAGCCAGGGCCTCCAAGTCCGTCTTGCCCACTTCGTGGGCCGCCAGGCGTTTGGGCGAGGCGGTGGTTTCTTCGCCAGGCGACACCTTGGCCTTCTCCCCCGTTTTCTTCTTCAGCCCCTTGCCCTTCCTGCTTTTCCGCCCCTTCCCCTTCCTTTTGCCTTTCCGGTCTTTTCCTTTCCAGCCTTTCTTTGGTGAGAGATCTGTCCTCGCCGGGAAGCCAGGGGTCTCCGTGGCTGCCGTGGCAGGCTGCCCCGGTTTTGGTGGGTGGAGGCTGCCGTCCGGTGGCATCGCAGTGGAAGAGGGTGTTGCCACCGTTGTCCGGCGTGTCGCTGGCCCATCTATGACTTCTCCACCATATTCATACAGCACCGGTTCTTGGGGGACAGCAACTGCCACCATACTGTAGTTTTTGCACCTGGGGGAGGGAGGGAGGGAAGAGGAGCAGAGGATTCATCCCCGTGGGTCTGGGCATTCCCCAGGAGCGCAGAAGGCCCCACAGCCAGCAATCTCTTCTACACAGATTCAACACCCTGTGTTTCAGCTTGCTTTTCACGTCAAGCCCAAGCGGCTAGTCCTTAGGGTTGAAAGCGGAAGAGCAAGTGTCTGCTACCACATCAGAAGTCAGAAACTTTGTGCATAGAAGGTGTTGCTCATGGGCCTCGCACACTCCCTCCCAGCATCCTCTAAAGGTAAAAACTTGAATGTTGAAAAAGCAGAAACACCCCCACCCCACCCTCACATTTGCACCGTGCATAGAATTCACATTATTTTCCCGGAGCATCTCTTGTCCTTTTTCAGGGCATAGTCATGAAAATGAGTGTGGTTACTGGATTAACCCCTCTGGACGACCAGCACCAGGCGGTACGGGTAACCTTGGCGAAGGTGGACAGTTTCGTTGCTGCCCACCCACTCCATCCCGCCATGTTTGCAGGAGATGAGCGGAGGAAGGTCTCGGAGGACAACCTTCCAGGCTGGGTATGTAAGAGAGGGGAGCAACGCCGCCCCCCCCCGTGGGTCCCGAGCCATTTCAGGTTTCAGGAACTTTGAAGGTTAAAACCCCAGAAGTGATGGACAAGACCCAGTGCCAACAAAGCCCCCCCCCCTCCTTCCACACCTGCATTTCCCAGAACCCAAGACCGCTGGAAGTCTCGTTTTCTGTGCCGGGCTCATTGGGGGGAGGAGAGGGAAACGGGGGTTCCAGGCAAGGGTTCTCTTACCACATGTAAAGGTAAGGCTCCACGCACTGCTCTTTGTAGATGAACTTGAAGCAGGGCACCTGGATGACGTTGAAGAAGGCCTGGCCCACCACCCGGGAGGCCGTGTCATTCACAGCCCTCAAGCAGGCTTTTAACCTGGAAAGGAAGCCGTGAGGCTGAAGGGATGATTCCGGTTTATTTTCCATTCTCCCATAAGACACTTTGCTCCAACCCAGGATGGTTTACAATTTTAAAAAAAAGTAGGAACACCATAGAAACAAGGCTAATCCCAAGACATTTCTGCTGCCTGAGTCAAAGCAACCTAGCATCCCTCGCTTATTCCGTATACAGAGAGAGGGCTCCTTCCTGTACAAAACGGCATCTAGCGGTCATGGTGAGAATCAAAAGCTGACCTTGAGAGGACCATGGGCTGAGCGCCTGCCTCTTTCTCCTCTTTTAAGTCTTTTAAGACTCCTGAATGTTTTGGATCCAGCTTTTATACTTTTATGGTATTAATTTGATATGACAAAGATGAGGACAGACGATGCCTTGATTGAAGCGCTAAAAAACAGAGCAAACCACTAGCTAGCTTTTGACCTAAATCAGTCTTCCTTTCACGGATAGTGCAGGAAGGAAACAATATACAATACATGGGATTCCCCCAAAATTCCTGGCAGACGGCTGGAATCGGGTCTGCTCCTTAAAGGTGAGTTCAAGACTGCAGAAAAGACCAGTGTGCAGCCTCAGGAAGGCTGGCTGAGTTTGAACCCCGGCTGTGGGTTCAAATTGATTCCCACTTACATCTGAGAGAGGAGAATCTGGAATCCACCAGGCCTCGCATGAGAAAAAGGGTCACCCGTTTGAAAGGGGCATAACACCCTCCCCCTTCAGGGGCGTGGGGCTGGGGAGGGGAGGGGCAGGACTACACCACCTATCATCTTTGATGCCAGGTGGGGCAGATGGGATTCAGAGCCCCACATTCCAGTTCCATGTACCGCCTTTTGGGGAAGGCGTTTTATGGGGACGGCATGAGATTTATCCCTCTCTGGAGCAGAGCGCAGGGGCTCTTGAGGCAGTCGCTGGCAATAACACACACACCGCACAATGTCTACTCACTGGTTGTCGCAGTCACAGTGGCTGATGGTGTGCCAGCGGTAGTTCCGGTAGCCGTACTTGTAGGTGAAGGGGTGGATGACGTGGTGGCAGTGGTCATGTTGCCGACAGCACCTGTCCGTCTCCCGGTGCTCGCCTGGAAAGAGAAGGAGGGGCAGTGTGGTAGAGGGGTGACAAGGCTGGAATGGAGACCTGGGAACCCCAGGGCGGAATCCCCCCCCCCGGGGCTCTGCATTCTCTCTCTCTCTCTCTCGTGACCCAATGTTAGTCTCACTTGTCTTGGCCCACCTCACAGGGTCCTTGTGATAAAGGGAGGGAATTGCCATGTGTGCCTTCTGGAGAAACCAACCCCCCCCCCCCAAAAAAAAGCAGGGAAAATGAGCCTGGGTGTTGCAGGGAATCAGCCGTCAGGCAAAAGGACCCCGGAGGCATCAGGTTCAAATCTCTGCTCAGGCGGGCAAACTGGGCAGGAAGGGGAGTGTGTGTTTGTGTGTGCGGCTAAATTGCTCCTTAAAGATGTTTGCCACATCTTCGAAATCGCTATTAGGTTATGCCCTGAGTCCCCAAAAGGACATGATGGGGCTTGTGGATAGAAAAATAAATGCCCAGGGTTTTAAAATACAGAAAGGGATCAGGGGAAGGTTGGTACTGGGGGAGGGGAGTGATCCTGGTTCTGATCCCTCCTACCCCCCCCCCGGACCCCAGTTCTGGAACTTTCTCGCCCAGCCCATCCTACCTGGCAAGGCTGTAAGGAGGGCGAAGGGGAAAGGAAGGAAGACGCACAGAC